TTCTGCGCTTTGAAACTGAAAGAATTTCAGGTATAAATTAACTATTAATCAAGTAAGTTTTCGTGCATCCCTCTCAGCATTCGGTCTTGCGATGAAGGTTTTTCTAAAAGAAGAACCAGTTGAATTAGTCTTTCACAGCACCAAGTGGCATGTATGCAAAGCAATTGCGTTTGTTCTAGGGAGCCGATCATAATTGAATTAAAGAGGGCGATTCGAATCGAAACGCTCGGCATTTAATCCGGAGCAGGCAGGTTGCCACTTCTGGTTAAGGTCCCTTAAAAATTCATCGTTTCAACCAGCAAGTGATCAAATGCAAGGTTTAAGACCGTGCTCAAAATCAGTTCGCGATAAAAGCAAGTTTCGTATATCGCATACCGCGCTCGAGATTTGCAATATCAAAACTCAAAGGCATGACTTTAGGAGATGCTTCGCGCTGTTTCTTCAAATTTGTTACTGGTGGCAGAATTTTCTATTTTATTTATTTTTTTGTATTGTTTTGCTTTATTCAACACGAATGTGGTTGAATTTGTCCTTCTTATATGACCTAATTTTCAGAGTATTCTGAAAATTCTCGTGGTCCAAATAATCGTTTAACGCATCTCCCCTCCTCTCCCAGAGAAACAGCTGTTCAATGAACGATTAGGTATTCGTGGACACAGAGCAGGAGATCAGGAACATTAAACACCAATAAAATGCCGTAACATAGGTAAGGACATTCATTAGGGGATGTTTTCATTAGGGATCATAATGAACAGTGGCGTGGCGTGCTTTGCGATATACCGATTGATCTGCCATTTAATCCTAAGGATCGATAGACAGGGTGATCGCAACGAACACTTTAAAAATCGATTCTTTACCATTAAATTTCGATAATCGATCATTCACGCCTTGCCGCTGATCAGTGGCGTGACGTGAACAAATTATCGTCGATTTTTCCCCATTTGAAGCTATAGTAAAGAATCGATTATTGAGGTGTTCGTTACGAACACCCTGTCTATCGATTCTTTTCCATAGGTTTAAATGGCAGATCAATCGATTCATCGCAAAGCACGCCACGCCACTGCCGCTGATACCTAGAGTCCCTTTACAGAGAGAGTTGAAACAATGCGGCTTACGGATGTTACAAACGGGAATAAAGATTACACAAATCGGACGTTTTTTGTAATCTTTGATCAACCTATTCCCGAATTCTTGTCTCTGTTCCCCGTCTCATTCCATTTGTTCCTTGTCGTGCCCCAATTCCCCGGTCTATTCCAGTTTATAATCTTTACTATTGGTGAAAATTTACTCTTTATTCCCGTTTGTGACACTATGAAGGCCTAAAATACGGGAACCAATCAGAAATGGATTCGCATTGTCTTTACTCTCAGTATAAAGGGACTCTATACTGATACCGAACGATCGTTATTTTGACAGTAATATTCCTGACCGGAAAGGATCACTTCTCCCCTTCCTGAAGTTTTCCTGAGCGCCCAACCTATGTAAATCTACTACGTACGCAGATGAACTCCATTAATGGACTGACTGCCCAGTTAAACGATTAAACAGCAACGTGAAACCTCATACTACGCCGACTTAAGGGGAGGATGGAAAGGACGGGGCTGGAAGGAGGAAAGCCAGTAGCCAGCGGAGAGGTCGGAGTGGCGTAAAGCTGGTGGAGAACATGGATGTCACGCCACCGCACCGCTTTGCCGTCACCCTGTCAAGCAGTGATAGTTGTGCCTTGTACTTGTCCGACTGGCTCAAAAGAACAGAACCCAACTGTCTGAAACCTCCATTGAGCGTTCTCACTTCGCAGGCCGCGGCCGCCCGACCAAAGCCCACCGCTTCGGCTACCCATCACAGCATCACACAGTGGCAGCCTAAGCTCTTGTGAACCGATTTCATTGCGGTGAACAGTAAAGTACCCGATAAAAAAAGAAATTTTGTCTTAAAACCGGTTGGAGCTATCGCACCGAGGTACATATTTATCCATGGTTTTTTTTTTCTTCTTTTTTTTTTGCTGGTTTAATGGCTTCGTGTCTAATAGAGTACCATGGACTGACCGACTGAGGGGAAAATGATAGACTAATTAGATTACATTTCGCATTTGGGAATCTCTATTTCTGGCCCATTTTAGAAACAACGTACATGCCATAGGTTTCCCTATGCAGACATGTGCTTTTATGGGAGAGCCAGAGATTGTGGTTCCTCATTGCAAAATGTAATTCAATCAAAGGGCCTCTCGTGGGTTGCCGTTGGTTAGTCTATCACTTACCTCCTTTGTCCATTGCAACCACCCGCTTTCAACGATATGATCCCTTCATCAGGGCCGGATTTACCTACTTGCCGCCCATGGGCCGCCTGTATTTTTCCGCCCCTTTCTCATTCGTTTTGAAACATCAATAGATCGTATCCGACAGTGGTTCGATGCGTATCGTTTGGTTCAAAACAATAGAACATAACCTCAAACAAAAATTTTAGGATTTAATTCGGAAAAGCTGAAAATGATAAAATTCCTAACAATTTCACTTTTCATTTTCATTTGGTACTCGAGAGAATAAAAATTCGATCACATAAGACCCGTTGCCTCGGATTTCTAAATTGACTTTTGAGGCTGCGGTTACATATTGAACCAATCGATATCAATGTAATCTCACCTGTGTGATCCGTCGAATACGATCCATAAAAACCATCAAATGAACCACTAAGGTGGAGGAGGGGTGTATGAGACGCGTTTACTCGTGTTGAGCACATTTTTTTTGAAAGCCCCGTCAACATTAACAAAAGTTCAGTTCCTTAAATCCATCCCGGTTTGGACAAGGCCTTCCATTTATAAAAAACGAACGAACAAATTATGAAAGAACAAACATAAATGCGGTTAACAATATTAACTTCCGCCGCTGCCCGACCGCACTGTGTTGGTGCAATGCGCGAAGTATTCATGCAGTCTTGTAGGCGCTATGCGTTTCAGGCCGACTGCTGCTGACCGCAGTGTGTTTGACGCAATGCGTGAAGTATTCATGCAGTCTTGTAGGCGCTATGCGTTTCATGCCGACGCAACCGCCGCCGCACCGCTCCGTTCCAGGACTTACAGGTCAAATTGCGTGTTTGGTTTCTCTCTTAACTCGACTAATTGGACTGAGTTAAGCAGAAAGGAACCAACCCACATTTTGGAAAAAATTGAGTTATGAGAGGTTTTGAACTCAACCACCGCTCTACTATCTATCGCAAAAAATTCAAAGTTTTTGTTGGAGCAAATTTTTCAGAAATTGAACTTGAAGTTTATCTTTTACATTCAGTCTTATGCAGGAGCCAAACTTTAAACCTCTCTTTCTCGGTTCGATCCCGATGTGGCTTGGTTCCTTTCTGTTTAACTCCGTCCAATTAAAGGTGTTGTCTCTTGTATCACCGAAAGACGACAAAAATAGAAATTACTATACTTTCACTCTCAGAAAATGAGAGATATTGTTGCCTTTTCTGGTTTGTAATTTATTTTCTGAATCCGATTTCTCTCTCTCTTTTTTTGATACTTACATTCAAAAAGATTGCAAAATTTTCCGCTCCCTACATTTTGCCGCCATGGGCCGCGGCCCATGTGGCCACCTCCTTAATCCGGCCCTGCCCTCCATATAAATTTTGTCTTCTTTGTCTGTCCTTTTGCCCATCAATTTCAATTATAAGCATGCTTATTTTAATTTGCGGGTAAAAACTAGCCGTATCGACACACATATTACCCAACTTACTGAAAATTTAAAAATCAGAGCGCTCAACTAAGGCTAACTCGCTTCCACTGTGGATTGCGCGCGAGGGAAACAGAAATTTAGTGCTGCGGGTCGATTATGTTGAATCGTTATCGAATGAACCTGATCGATAAATCCCTATCTTAGCGATGATTTATATCGATCAGGTCATTCGATATCGATTCCACAATCGAGCCGCAGGGAGCTCAAGTCGGCAGGAGGTCGTTGGTTGCCGCGCCGGGCGCTCGCTCCGAGCTAGACTGCTTGCCGCCACTGACGTGAACCAGTCACCCATCTCTGTGACGGTCTGACACTTGAGATAGCTCCCGACTTGCTCTTGCTACTGGTCCTGGAGAAACCTGGTGTCCGTCTGGTGTTTTCATGATATTTTCATCTCCACCTACAATGCACCTCACTGTATGAAACGGCTCCATTTTGCCGCCAATTAAAAACAGGAGCTCACTTTCAAGGTGGATCTTCAGTTGTTGCACAATGCATTTTGGATACGATCGATATATTTCAAATTATACACTGGGAAAAAAAGTCGCTTTAATCTAGAGTCCAGACTCTATAAAATAATGACAAGAAAAAATACTCTTGATTCAATCGGATTTTTGCTTGAATCAAAACGAAATCCGCTTAAATTAAGAGGCTTGGTTCTTGATTTAAGCTAAAATCAGATTGAATCAAGAGCACTTTTTCGTGTCAATGTTTTAAGAGTCTGGATTCTAGATCCAAGTGGCTTTTTTTCCAGTTTAACCGCACTCCTAAGTAGCTTAGATTGCAATTACATGGTAAAATGATTGCAATTTTATCGGAGTGTTGTGTATGCTGCCTACTTGCTAATCAGAGGAACACTTCTTGTTGAAAATTGCAATAAAACTGATATGAGTTACAATTTTTTCATTACATTATCAATTATCTATCTTTCTGACACATGGAGCTCATTGTTTTTGATTGTTTAAAATCAGCATTAATTGATTAAATTAAGTAAAAATATTGCAATTTCTCACAATATTAAAAAAAAGCATATTGCAATATTATAGCGATAAATCGCAATTTCATTTCAATATTTTCATTGCACTGTGCTTCTGGAGAGATCCATCATTTTAGGAAGATCAAAATTTTAGTTTGTAGATCAATCATTAGGTAATTAATGTTCGTGCCGATTCAGGGCTTCAATAGTTCCGATTATTTTTGAAGTTCCTAGTCGGTCCGTTGGTCCTAAGGTCTGGTACTTAATGCAAACGTCCAAGAAAACGAAATTTTTACTCTTACCGCCTAAAATTCCATCAATTGAATAGTCAGCGTTTGAATTTTTCACATCGCCTCGAATGAAACGGCTGATTGTTGATTCGCTTGGAACAGTCTCAGCTGTACAGACACCATCCTGGAACCATCAGTACGGGTATTCGATTAATCATTGCTAACATGTGATATAAACTGAGCGAACGAAAGTAATATTTCCCATCAAGACTTCATGACGAATTTCAAATAAACAAGAAATAAAAGAATGAAAAAACTTAAAATAGATTAAATTTGTAATTATAATTCATAATTTAATAATGAATTAACAAATTTTCATTTTCTTCTATATTTAAAAAGCTGAGGAAAACAAAATGGACATGCTTTTGCCATAACTCATCTCTTTCTCTTAAGTTGTCATTAGAAAACAGTAGTTAAAAAAAAAAAAAAATCTGAAGCACATGTACGTTGAGCATCTGGCGTAATGGGAGTAATGATTAAGTTAATAATTTGCGAGTAAAACCTATTTATTTGGGAGAGGATGTAGGTAGAATGGTCCGACGTGAACAATCGAATGGGCGTACATATAGTTCTTAAAACTACTTAGGAAATAGATATAAATAGTACTGAGACGCGTAAACTCAAGAGACTTTAACGCATCATAGGAAAGGAACATGGACAGTCGAATGAAATGGACGCACACGGCTTCTTAAAACTTCTTGAGAGATAGATTGAAATTGTGTCGAGGTGCGTGAAACGAAGAGACTTTAACGCATCATAAGAAAGTAATCACTGCTGCAGTTGTATATTGGCACGCCATAAAACATTATGCAGAATGTAATGAATTGCTTTAAACCATTCAGGATGAGTATGTACACTTAACGTTATTGTTGGCCATATATTCCAATAATCCTCTAAAAAAGTTCACCCGTCCAAAATAAAATAAAATAAAAAAAAAAAAAAAAAAAAAAAAAAAAAAAAAAAACACACAAATAATCCGAGAGTTTACCATACGTTAAAACGCTTGGATTATATTGAAATTCGTCGCATTATCATTAACCTCTCATTCCGCGTTCATTATATTAAAAAAAAAAGCGGGACCCCAGGAAAGAACCCATCATTTTTCTGATTTTTAAAACTAAGTATTGCATTATTATTTTCAATTTTTTCCAAAAACTGTGTACTCTCTGACCAGGAGAAAAAACATTCTATTTAGGTCGAGAATTCGGAAGTTTCTCAGATCGTATAGAACTTGTAGTCGTTTATGACGTTTGTTGAGTTTTACTTGAAACATTTTAAAAAACGAATCCGTAGAAAATTTCCTTCGCAGCTCCCGCAACAGCTGTTTACCTTAAAGAGGATGAATAATACATCCCCAATCAGTTGCGCGATTTTACCGCTTATAATAAAATTTCTTTTATGTGATGAACATAGAGTTTTCTATTGGGCCCATGTGAGCTTAAAATTCCAATTTCCTCATTCTAGAAACGAATCATGTAAGCCATCAGTTTCCTTATGCAGATACGTGTTTTTACGTAGCTGAGCTACGAATATTAGTTTTTTGCAAGATATAGTCCAATTGTAAGGGATTTTTGAGCTTGTGAGCACGTGAGCTGGAAAAATTCCACCACTGCACAAGGCGGCCAAATCTAGATCCCTATATCACCCCTTTCTTATGAGACCTGACTGAATGAAGTCATCGGCTCACGAGTTGGCAGCACTGGTCATAGGTGATTGCGAGGCGGCGAATCTTGAGTGTTAAAAGGCGGTGACATAATTATACATGTAAGGTTGCCGCCGTGGCGCGCCTCCTCCTCCGCCCCCAAAAGATTAGAATCAACCTATCCCCCCCGCCCCCCGCCCCCCGTTCTACATCTACTGGGATCCCGCGGGCGCTCCACGAGTTTCCACGACGCGATCTGAGCCCGCTCCCATACGGGCCCGATCGGGAGATCGCTTCATTCATTCAATCAACCGGGCATCTATGACCATCGGCCCGGGACAATACTTTCATGCTAAGGAAGAACGCCGTATGAACCTTCAGGCGTTGCCAAATTTCCTTTACAACACGAGAATTTCCTTGTAACCTTATGGATATTTTCATCCCAATTTTTCGGATTTTTTTGTTCGCAGTTTTATCCGAAGATTCTGAAAACGCAAAGGAAACAAATTCATAACTTTCCTCAAAAATAAACATTTCATCGAAGGAAATTTGGCAACTCTAGATTGTTCATACGGCGTTCTTCCTTAACACGGCAGAATACCTGATGACCGGCTCTCGCAAAGGGTACGAGAGGAGTTTTCTGACGTGATAGTGAGGAGAGCAGTTGGTGCAAAAATGAAGTTTTGAGAAAACGGGCTCAGAAGCATCTGACCGGAAAATTTTATTGAAAGAAGCCTCCGTTCTTACTCAAATCATCACTAATCGTCGGATAGACTCCTAGAGATCTTTTGTTGATTAAAAATCGACTAATTGTATTTCAATTACATAAAAAGGGTATTTTTCATTTCCATGCTAGGTAATTGGTAGGCAAGACAGCCGTAAGTGCTTTACTGCATGCATTTGTGGTTGCGTTTTGGACACACAACAAACACATTTTCAGGTTTGAAATTGGCAGAAGAGGGCGGCAGTTTACCTGAAAGCACTGTTTTCATTGGCTCTCGGGAGGAATATTGTCACTTACAGCTGTCTTGCCTGAAACTACGTCATTTTTTGCGCACTTACCGATTTCTCATATGTGTCTCGTTTTCATGAAAATAAGATGAATTTTGCTGCTTTAGCTATCTCAGTGATTTCATCTAAAAGAGATTAGACGAGTTTTGAAGGAAATTCGATTTCGAAAATTTGACCCTGACTGCTCTCTGCGCTATCACAGCAGTTCTGGGGGTCACTTATGGACGTATTTCTATCAAACGGACCTAAGCGCCATAGGGTGAGGAGGGTAGAGGGGGCTTGGATTGGCGGCGGAATCGGGCGTCCGGCTTATTCCGTCCTATACTCGCAATGCTTTTCCATGGCGCTTAGGTCCGTTTGACAGAACGCGCTATCCGCGGCGGGATTCTAAATTCCTCAAAAGGAACTCAAACCGGCGCTTAGTTCCGTTTGATAGAAATACGTCCATTCATACTGTAGGATACGGCAAAGTCGCCAACTCATTTTCGTAACAATTGTCAGTCAGGTGGTATTATCGTTCCTTAACCCTCGCAGAGGGGCTATAGAGTTGTAACCCTTAAAGACGGTTCTGTGCTCGGTGCGACTGATATGTTTACACTATCTTAGTGAGAAGAGATTTGATTTACCTTAATGAGTTTATCCCGAATCTGCCAGCTGAAAATATTGGGATTCTCCTTCTTGTAGACTTCGATGCACCTCTCGATGCTCGGGGTAGCAATTTTGGGTTTGCTGCCCCCGATCACTCCGGGGCGGATGCTCCCCGTTTCTTGGTACCTGTTGAGGATCTTGGAGACGCAGCCGTGGGACACGCGCAGCTGACGCGAAATCACGCACGGCCGGACTCCTGCCGCGGCCATCTCGACGATCTTCAGCCGTATGTGGTTCGGGAGTGGACGTCCATTTATGAAAACTCCGCCTAATTGATTCACACGACCTTGCCCTGCAAAAAAAAAAAAAAAAAAAAAAAAAAAAAAAAAAAATTTAACTGTCTGATTCTGACGCCAGTTTTACACAAACTTGGAAGTTTAGAAAATATATATTTGACCCAGCCACTGGGAAGAGGGAGCTCGGATCTAGAGTCCGGACTCTTAAAAAATTTGATAAGAAAACATACTCTTGATTCAATGGGCCTGTTGCAAACTTTTGCTAGAGCAAAAATAAGAGTTGTTTCTTATAGATAATGCCTCAAAAATCACGATGAGCGCATCGGCAAAGTCTGAAATGCACTCATAACTTCACAATCTGCGTAAGAAATTTGCGTTTTTTTAAGCTTCCCGCTTCAAAAACGATACTACGGCATA